ACTTTTTGACATTGCCATGCATTTGCGGTAGCTGCGCTGACAGCGTCGCAGCCATCATCCGCTATACATACATACATGCATGCTGTTCAAATCAGTTCAGCTTGGCTTGAATATTTTTTAGTTTGGCAGTTTTAGTTTTAATTGAAGCTCAAATCTAGTCGCACACAACATAAATGTTTATTGTTAATAAAGTGTTGAATGTCGAAGAAGTGTAAGAAGAAGAAGACGTGGAAATTCAGTCTCAAAGTGACGAAGTGGTACACATACGTGCATAACTATATATACGCGTAGAAAACAAGAAGAAAAAAGCATACAAAATAAAACAAGTTAATAAGCAAAACGGTATGCAATCAAGTATTTAGTAGTGTTTGTGCGTTTGTGTGTGTGTGTATGTATTTTTCTTTAACAAAAATAACATAAAATCACAAAATAAGGTTAATTAGTGTAAAAAAAATCACACAAAACAAGATGTAAAATAAAAAAATTAATAAAATTTTAAAAAGGTGGAAAAAATAAATACTAAAGAAAATATATAAAATAATAAAATAGAAAAAATAAGAAAACAAAACATATAAAGTTAAAATGGTGGACTTATATTTTACACAAAATTTGCATGAAAACATATATATTCTTACACTTCAGCCACTACAATGCATTCTACATTTCGTGTTTATAAAATTATTTTGTGTATTTTAGCATTTATATTCCTTTGTGTTTTGGAACTCTTAGCGAAATTTATAAATTTATGACTAAGGTAGCATTGCGTACTGCCATTCGGGAGGCCAGGGCTCAACCCCTGGTCCGACCGACTTTCAAAAATTATAGAACTTTAATCTAAATAAAAAATTAATATCAATTTCCTAATTGCGTTCGCCCCTTGGCAGGTATTTTCAAGACCTCCCTGTGTATTTCTGACATGACTTAATTTTTCAATTTTTACCCACTTTTCCGAATTACTTTTACATCGGAGGTGGGTGATCCGATTTAACGCTCAATTCGTTCATTTCAAACAGGAAATGTGTGAACCAAGTTCTTTTAAAATATCTCAACCCCTATTTGATCTGTGATGTACATAGGCGGGCAGCCGAACAAGCGATCGGAATGGATAAACGGACGACTGGACGGACCTTCAGACATGGCTAAATCAATTCGTCTTGTCATTCCAAGAAGTTTGATATTCATATGTCCATATCTAACTCGATTATTTTATACCTTTAAATAAAACCGTTTGCTGAAGAAATAATATCTGTGAAAAAAAAATCCAACAAAAATTCGTGATTTTTTATAATAGCTCACTAAAGTCGTCTAAAATCGATAAGGTCATAAAAAGGCTGAATCTTTGTGTCGAAATGAAATTAGCAATTGGTCCGAGTGTTTTTAGTATGTTTTAGTATGTACATATGTATGTATCTGACCAAAAGCTAGTACCTTTAAATACGTTTGCACTTGGTGATTGTTGTTGTTGTTGTTGTTGATGCAGCTGTTTTGTTGTTGTTGTTGTTATTATAACTGATAATACAGTTGTTGTTGGTGGCTATTTTTATATCATTATTAATATTGTAATTATTATTACTATTATTATTATTATTATTATTATTATTATTATTATTATTATTATTATTATTATTATTATTATTATTATTATTATTATTGTTATTATTATTATTACTATTATTACCATTATTATTATTGCTGTTGTTGTTGTTGTAAATTTTTCATATTCATTTTGTATGTATGTGGCAATTTGTGCCTGGTGGACCGACATAAACAAATTGCAGGCAATTAATCACCATTGGGTCAGCTAATAAATAGTACAGCAACAATAATACGACGCAGAAATGTCGATAAAAAAATTACGCCAATAGATTGATTTGGAAACCAACAACACAAAAAACGTTTAGTGAACTTCAGAGACCTATGTAATGATGATACGAGATTATATCACATACACACATACAAATAGATATACATGCTTACGTACACATAATATATACATACATACATATGTAATATAATAACTGCTGCCACATTGCTGGAGCGATTGAGTGACAACACGATATCAGATGAATATCTGTATTTCAATTATATATATGTACCGTTCAGGTAAATTTACACATGTACGTATGTGTTTCGGTCAATCGACATACGCCACCCTCTAGCGTACACTTTTAACCTGATACTTTTATACATACATATGCACATATATATTATATGCCATGCAGCCACAGATGTAATTTCGTAAGTCAAGTTCAATTCGCATTTCATGCGGCATTTCAGTTTCATCGGAAACATGCAACAAGCGAGCCATAATTTCGTGCATCATAAACAAAGACATTTTTCGATGCGTCAACAACAACAGCAACAACGCGCGCATCCACAATTTCGTCGTATATATGTGCATGAATTAGATGTAGCAACAACAATGGCGGCAGCAAATCAACGTGAGCAAAGTGTTATTGATAGAAAGCAACAAATAAAAGTGATTAACGTGATGGTTCAAAAAAAAAATCCGATAAAAAATAAGAAATCAGAAACAAATGATTTAAAAGTTAAAAAAAAAATTAAGAAAAAATTATTTTCTCGAATTTCCAAGCCAAAACTTTGAAGTTTAAAAATAACTTTAAAATTAAACAGCACGACTTTAGCCGCTAAAACTCACAACAACAACAAAAGGAGAATGACAACACGCATGCACTCAGCTGCGCTGACGCAAAATTATTAATTTTCATGCCAAATTTGTTTATTTAAATAAATAATAAATTCTCAAAAATGTCATTATCGGTCATTGCAAAATCGAAAAGCTCTCACGCGATAAAAATTTATTGGCAAAAAAAAAAAATATTTTTCACAATTTTTTTTAAACAAAAAATTTGCAAAAAATCACCATCAAACTGGCTGTCGAACTCCACTAAAACAAATTTTATTTCGAGACAATTAAGAATGCCCAATTTGATGGGTGCTTTCTTTGACGACTGGTTTTCAATGAGGCAACTCTTTTTGCGGAGCTCTTAATTGATTTGTACTCAGTTTGGTTAGATAATGAACAGACTTACTACGGAACAACGTTTCCAAATGGAGCATTGGTTCGGTTAGCGCGACACATCACGCACTGTATTATTCGTTCGACGTTATCGCCGAGCAGAGTCAGTAATTCAAGTAACTATTTCAATTTCGCTCCACGTTTACTCTATCAGATGATTCAGAGGCCCCTTACAGAGCGCACCGAAGACGCCATTACTGCTGTGGAGCAAGATATAGTAGGAAACCCGAGTGATTCTTGTGTCGGAAATACGGCCGGAGGATGACCGCAATTAGAAACAAGAGTTTTCTATCATTTTGTATGTTGTTCGGGCCAGTATTCGAACACTGGTTTTCCAAATGGCACTTACGATAAGACCGAGTGATAAACATTAATCAAATTTTTTACCAAAACGAACCTCATCAAATCTTATTCCTTTGATAGTAGCAGAAGCTGCTTGAGTTTTTAATGAACTTAACCAAATTGAAACGATCGATATCGATAGAAAGTTTCTGCATTCATATATAATTGGAACTTTGTAGGCGCAGAAGCGATTTTCGGCCGAGCTCTTCGTCCAAATTGATTTCCTATAACTCTTTGGATGTTCTAATGACACCAGGATTTGAATTCAAACCTTCTTAATGGCAGTAGGCAATTCTAAGACCTCGGCTACTGCGGCCGCCGGGGTTGCTTAGGAGCAAGTGAAGTCAATCGTAATCGTCGAAGCTATCTTACGGGGAGCCTAAGGTACAAACTGGCTGTTAAACTAGTGGGTTTTAGTGAGCATCGAGTCCGGGTAATTAGAAGTTGAGTGTATTACAATATCCAGACCTTAATAGTGCCAATATTACTCGCTTCAAACAACGCAGCTCGAACTCTTCGTCCGCTATTTGTGGTTGCAGGATTCCGATAACGGCATTCACAGAAAGAGAAGTAGAAAAGGTGTTGACAGCCTCTATCTAAAATGCATTTGGAGTCTGTCGCTCTGATGCTCGATTAGACATCAATACATAGAAAACAGAACTTGTTTTCTTTACCAGGCAGTTGCTCGACCCATACTTCTCTATGTGGTTGTAGTCTGCTTGTTAGCTTTACAAGCGAAATTGGTGGTTATGCATGAGGCTGTCCATTGTCTCACCTCACGTGACCTTATCAAGCAAAAGCGAAGGGAGATATCTAAAGTTATGACTCTCACAGGGCATTTTCTATTTGACAGGCATGCAGAGAGCTTAGTCGTACCATGTAATGACTTCTGCAAAAGTGGCAGAGAAGAAGAAGCACCTGAAACCTTAAGCCACAGTAGTGTCTCTAGAGCTTGCCTGGGCCTAGGTAACCACTTCAACCTACCAACCAACCAATAGTAACTTTAATGTGTCAATTTGAAGTTCACTGAAAGCATCTTTCTATGGAATAATATTAAAGTCTCTTACTTGTTTGACATCAACACCAAACTTTTTAAACTCAAGATTCTCTTTAGTCTCTTCTTTATCACCGAGTTGTTGTTTTATTTATTATCATCTTATTCATTTTATTTCAATTATTTCATATTTTATTCTGTTATTTATTTTGTATTTCGTACTTTTCTGCGTTTACCATTACACACTCTCTCTATTGTCCATCTCTTTGTCATCTCTGGAAAACGCATCTGTTTAAATTCAGTCGTTTGTTTGTGTTTTCTCTTAAGTCTCCTATTCGCACCTCTTTTACTAACACGTATTTCTATTGTACTTCGAACAGGGCGTTAATACATATCGACATTCAAGCCAACATACATAAATTATGCTAACTGTTTGTGTATTTGCAACCCTGAAATAAATACGAAATTCCACAATTAGTTTAACGGTGTCATAAATAAACACAAATTACAGTCAGCAAAGAAAATAAAATAAAGTGTGTTAAAAAAATTGTTAAAATCCAAAAAAAAAAAAAATAAGTAAAAAAAAATTTGAAAAAAAATTAGAAAAACGTTTGACTAAAAATATGCAAAGTGCCCGTATTCAGATGAAAATCCACAAATAATTAACAGAAATAAGAAAAATAATTTTTAAGCAAAATATCTTTTAATCAATCTAATTTTTAACACCTTTCTTATCTTTCCTCAACAATATCATCTCAGTGTTTGTGTTAACATATCTACACACAATCATTTACGGTACACTATACACACACGCTCATCTGTACATAGTAATTTGATTCTGTGTTTTTGTGTGTAAATTATCTGGCGACACCGTAACTCAGCAAATTTAAGTAACTTTTCATCATTCTGCTTCCTCTGCTTCTGCTGTTGCTTCCAAATGACTACAGCTAAAATCGCTAAGAGTCTCTTCCCCGCCACCGTGCCTTGGTATTCATCGAAGATGATTCATTGGTCGTTGATTGTGAGCTTTATGGGCGTATTGGTTGCTGCATTGGGCGCTTACTGCGGCTGGTTTCTGTTTCCCAATATGGTCGATAAAAAGGTGGAAGAGGTGAGTATGAATTTGAACGTATTAAATTTTAGTTATTATCTGTACGGTTCATGGTAGGGCCTTAAAGCCTGTAAACATATTATAAATAAATTCGAAGAGGGAAATTAATCGATTTAGCTCGTGTAGTCTGAGAAATCTTAACGGGACTTGCGTAGGTGTTGTACATGATGGATGACCATGATCAGATAGAGGGTAAAAATATTTAAGTTGAAAATTTTGAATGAGCTTCATCTTCACAAAGATATACGTTGCTTCATATATAAATAATCGCCAGATACTAATGATACTAGGCACACGACTGAACCCAGAGCTTAAACAACTGATACCTGAAACTTTGAGGATGCTTTCTGCGTATGACGTACGCATTCGATAAGAAAAGGTTGCGCCGGAAGCAGGCCTGGGACCGATATATTGAAACAAAAATCGAATTTATTTTTTTATCGTTTGATTTACATGAAATTCGGTGCTCTGCAAAGACCTTTACGTCGGGCCTGGGATCGATACGATAATTCGGCTTTGTCGACGCAAAGTCGCTGGCAAACTGAAGTATATAATAAAACAACAATTATCTTAAATTTTCAACTGGAAATATTGAGGATTTCGTAATTGTGACGTCATTTCCGGTGATCCACGGATAAAAGGGTGCGACACCCGAAGTTAAAAGGTAGTGTTTAATAAATCCCATTAGCAAAATTTGGACGGACTTTGGTAAAATTTGCTCAATTCCTCATGAATTTTATTTGATTTCGGTTGATATGTTTTTTTTTTTTTTGAAAACAAAGTTTCGAGAGAAACCCGTTTAAATTTTCTAAAGCTGAGCTTACCTGATTTTTACCGCGCACATTGCCAAGGTTGAAGCTCCAAAATTTGTATTCAGATCGACTTAAGAATTTTAGAAAATATTGTCGGGATGTTGTAGAAGTTGCTGGGAAACCCTTGTTACCTATCAAATAATATAATAGATGAGCCATGCTCCTGCGGTATATCCTTATATAAAAAATAGTTCAATAAATTTTGGTTGGTTTTTCCTTTCCAACCTTGGAAAAATATTTCTAAGAAATAAGTCTTGTGGCCTAGATTGGAGCATACCTCTCTTTCCTAATTTTAAGCGGATTATAAAATTTCGGCTTGTTATGTTGGCTAAAGCTGTCAAAAACCATATTTCGTTTCTTTAAAGCTAGATAAAAAAATATCCATCATTGGTCTAGTAAAAAGTCATCCACTATTTTTGCAATATAGGGCTTTAGTGATCTGTGAACCGAGTTCTATAAGTGCAAAGACGATAATTAATACAAAAAAAGATAATGGAAGCAGTTTTGTCCCTTAACCCACTCAGTAGTCTTTGAGCATATGTCAAGCATTGACACCAGCAAGAAGTAAATACGCTTTATTCTATTAATTTTTCATCGAAAAAGGTGGCAGCTGAAAATATTATATGAACAGTGTTGATGGTTAATTTCTTTCCAGTAATTTTGATGTAAAATATGTTTCACGGTGCGGAAGGCCAATTGCCGATAATCTCGAGAAATTATTGTAGTCGGAGCGTCATGCGAGCACTATTTACCATTGACCAGGAGCTAAACATTGAACAAGAGGAACTATGAAACCACTTGAAAGATTTGGATACACAAAAAAGCTCCATGTATGGGTGTCACATGAATCAACGAGATAACACATCATGGACTAAATTTCCATCTGCGAATCGCTGCTGGATCATAAAAAAATCGTGCCATTTCTGAATTCTGAAAAGTGGATTATTTACAGCAATGTCAATTGAAAACGGTCATAATCGAGACACACACAAACAGCCGCCAAGCCAGGCTTGACTTGGTTTTGTAGTATGTTTGGTGAGATTGGCAAGGAATCCTCCATTAAGAGCAGCTGCCCTACGGCCAAACTCCGAACGGAACTGTACTTTCGTCAATTGGGCCGTCTAAGGGAAGCTATCACCCAGAAGATTTTAGCTTTGCCCAAAAGTACAGGCATTATGTTTCATCAGTTTAATGCCAGACCGCACATATCGACAGTGACTCACCAGAAGCTCTGAGAACTTAATTTGGATGTTCTTATGAGTCCACCTTATAGACCGGACCTCGCACCAAGTGTTTAACACCCATTTTGGTCTACGGCGAATGGTTTGGCTGATGAAAAATTGGCCTCAAGAGAAACCTATGAAAATCGATTGCCTCAATATTTTGCCATTAAACACCAGGGTTTTCCATGAAAGAGGCATAATGGTACTACCTTTCTAGCATAAACCGCATATCCACACACTCGTAGTGAATTCTTTTTTTTTTTTTTTGTATATATACAAATAATTTATATGTTGCTAAGCTCAGCGGTTGACTAAGTGCTGTAATAAAAAAATACTACATGACCTTTGTATTTTCGAGCATTCTCATTCGATTACTAGTTCAAATTCTAAGATAGATTCCAAGTAAACACAAAAATTCTAAATACTCAAATCACAAGTCCAAAGTTCAATTGTCTCAACAAAGGTTTGAGAATTTTATTGACGCAATTTGAGCATTAAAAAAGCATATAATTAATTTTTACGTGACCTATTTACTTAACCGAACACATTGGCAAATATAAAAAAGAACTTAAAATTACTTTCAAATTTTAAAGTTTATCTACGCACCGATGACCTCGCTCGGTCAAAGCAGATTTACGTGAGCATTCAAAATCAAATAAATTCACATTACGACCATTGGACAAAGTGATTGGACTACACTTGACCACAAACTACAACAATACGGTCACATCCGCATAAAGAATCTCAACAATGCCCAACGGCATTAATTAAGAGTTACACTTGTCGAGTCAAAAATCTACACAAGCAACAAAACAATTTAAAGTTACTAAAAAAAGAAAAATAAATTAAGAAAACAAAAGCAGCAAAGAGGCAGAAAACAAAATATGTATAAGGAGAACTAAACAATTTCAGCGCTTGCTGGGGAATGGCGCTAATTTTCAGTTGTAATTTAACGGTGACTGTCGCTAAAAACGACAAAAAACGCACCACAAACTACAAAGCAAATCTAATTGAAGACAATTCAAGGGCAACAACACTGCCGACAGACGATTAAGAGACAATTAAACATAATAGAAATGGCAAAAAAAAAAGATTTGCAAAAAATATGTATGTTTGTAGGTTTATTATATCAAAAGAAAATATGCCAAAAAATGCGAAACAGATGGAAAAATACGAATTTTTGGTTATGTCTGCTCGCCAATGTATGAAGCAAAAGCTGCATTGACAATGGCCTCAAAACAATTTAAACGGACCGAAAATGATTTGCGTCGGTGTCAATTTGATACACATACACACAAACGTAGGTAGGTATGTATGTCTACAAAAGAAACGTCACCGAATGATATTTATTTACATACACCAACAAAAGCAAAGCCAAACTCAATGTGAGGGGAAAAATCGCCAAAATATGTACGAATGCCTGTATATGCATCCATTCCATCCATTCCATCCATGCTATCCATTTCATGATTTCAAAAGTACACCTGCTTTATTTTGACATCTGTCAGACTTAACTGTCAAACCAAACATGCTTTGTTTTAGTATGAAATCAGGCATTTATTAAAAAAGCCTTAACAACCACAGAACGCGTTGAAATTTTTAAGAACAACCACAAAAGTAGTGATTCAGATTTGGTAACATTTCGTGCTTTCAGAGAAGCTTATGGTCCAAATAATCGTCCAACTACTTAAGATTTTAATGAAATTGTAAGAGACTGGATCAGTTACAGATATTTTAAGGCCTGCACATCACCGCTTTGCTAATTCCATCTCAAATATCGCTACTGATGGAATAAAAGGGTGGCTGAAGACCCGATTGTGTTCTCAAGAGCTAAGACTTTCTTGCAGCACATTATGGCTGATTTTGCTCTGGGACTTGCCCCCATTCTAAGTATATCCAAAAATATACTGAAACCAGCTGACAATTCTCAAACTCGTACATACTCCGATTTGGTGCTTGAACAAACGAATGTTTCTTCAGCGATGGATACGCAAATTCGCTAATTTATAAGATTTGGTGTCTCTTGGTAACTCAAATAATTTACGAAAGGCCATTACACCCAAAAAAGTACTGTCTGTCAACTGCGCTCTTTGATCCAGTGGTGTGATTGGACCTTATTTTTTCGAAAACGAATTTGGCGAGACTATCACTGTCAATTCGGATCGTTATGATCGAATAATAACCGACTTTTTTAGACTTGCAAGTGTTAAACACGACTTGGAGCATGAGCGAAAGAAATTTTCCCGTCGTGTAATCTCTCGTCTTGGCGATGTCAATTGGACACCGAGATCATGCGATTTTACAACGTCGGGGTTTTTTTTTGTGGGGCTAGAATAAAGACCGTGTTTTCAAACCTTTAACTCTTGAGCACTTGAAAGCCAACATTCGTAAAGTTATGCCTGAAATATCGCCCATTATGTGCCAAAAAGTGGTCGAAAATGATTTCCAAAGGAGGGGAGTTTACTCACGAGGCGATCATTTGAATGATCACACATTATGTCAAGACTCAAACTTTTTAATAAATAAATTAATATCATGAAAAAAAATTTTTAAACGCATTTTACTTGCGTTTATTTTTGAATCCATAAAATGGTTAACCCTGTATGTTGCGCAACATTTTCTTATTTCAAACTTCATGTGCTGCCAATGCCGATTTAGCTTTTGTCTGCTCCGCTTTGCGCTGCGTTTTTGTGCTTGAAGTGTGAGTCAAGTGTTTATCGACGCTCCCGAAACGTGCTAAAAATTTGAATTGGAAAATAGGTACAACAACAACAACTAATAACATTGTTATAGTCATTATTATTATTATTACCATTATCATTATTATGTTATGTAGTATTAAGCGGCACTAACCTACAACAATATTTTTATGTATTAGACTTAATTGTTTCGTCTTTACGATTCACACGCGTAATGTGAAGAAAAGCTATTGAATGATGAATGCACGCGACACGCATGCGCATCT